CCTCCGCTTGGCAGCCTAAGGAAGCAGCAACTTCTCTGGGCCCGGAGATGCAACATCCGTGCCCTGATAGGGCTTTCCCCCTCAGCGGACCACTTGATCCCTGTGTGTGTTCTCGAAACCGATGATAAATACCGCCCCTAGAAATTGGGACCACTTATCCGTACCAGCCTATAGCTTACCGGTCGACCCAAGAAATTGGGAATGGGATCACCCACTCAAAAGACGATCTCTTTTTTTTTTTTTTTTTTTTTTTTTTCAAAAGACGATCTCACATACCACTGTCTGACTATTCAGTTAGAACTTAGAACTTAGAATGGGGTGCCAAATTGCCAAGCCAAAAGTGGATGTACATTGGATTGTGGCCAGGAGATGGCTGGCCACAAACTGGACAACGGACTCTTTGCCATGCCTGGCAGAAGCACTGCCAGCCTTCTGGAAACTGTTAATGGACCTGTAAGTTGTGAAGCACTCAGGACTCCTCTGGCTGATCGCTCACCAAGCCTTGCCCACTGCGATGCGGTGTGCCAGAAGAACACACAAGGCCACGCCCCGTTGCGTGCTGTGCCCGGGTTTAACGTTGGAAGACTTGCAACACTTCTGCCTGTTTTGTGATTTGGCCCGCCGTCTGTCGGACTGGTGGAGAAGCCCTTCGGTGCGAGTGCCAACAGCAGCTGAAAGGTGGACTGAAGAATTTGAATTGCTAGGGTCAGCGTCGAGACGCACGCAAGTACCGGGACAGCTTGGCTATGCAGAGGAAACCTTGAGAGCCGCCATTCTCTGGACATTATGGATGCTGCAGAATGCGGCAACCAAAAGGGGTGAGAGAATCACGCCCCCAATGGTCCAGGCAGAAATAAAGTACTCGATCAACCAGGCGATCCACTCTGATAGGACGTACAAAGTACAGAGTAAAAGTTTTACAGCTGAAGCGACAAGGCAACTGGCCTTCCCTGGCCTGTTGACGGTCCAACAGCAACCTGCAATGTGTCCGGAGTTGAAATTCTCAGCCTTTTTCCTCTGACAAAGAGTTCTTTTGCCAAGCTCAGTTGGGGTGTGGGCTGCAGACTTGCTTTGTAAAATAGAGACTGTAAATAAGGTCTGACATAGATTGTGCAGTTGAATCTGAGTGACTTCCTTAGGCCATATGATCGATTGCTCGGGCCTGACTGGCCGGTTCAAGTAATTGCTTCTTGTGCTGTGATTTTCTGCAATTTTTGGTCTTCGAGCGCTTCCATGACTTCTTGCGTCAGCTACTGCCTCACTCTTCCCTCGTTATTACGCTCATAGATATAGGGGCACTAAAATTGTCTAAGCATTAGCTGTTTTTCTGATTTTTTTAGTTCGTTGGCGACCATACGTAGGTTGCAGAATTGCTTTGAAGGATAGGCTGTAGGCTGTAAATAGGATCTGGCATAGACTGTACAGCTGAGAGCATGAGTGACCTCTTTAGGTCGTATGATTGATCCCTCGGGCCTGACTGGCTGCTAAGTGCTTCTTGTCCTTCTATCATTTCCTTGTTATTAGGTTCATAGATATAGGGGCACTGAAACAATCTGTGCATTTGTATTTTGTTGGTTTTTTTTTTTTTTTTTTTTTGTCGACTTTGATTTGTGACCACGACCGGGGCATGAACCTGACCAGTGCCCGGATCATCCCATAAAGATTTTTTTTTTATAGAGAAAAAAAATAGGTTTTCGGGGAAAAAATAAAAAAAAAAAAAAAAAAAAAAAAAAAAAAAAAAAAACCAACAACAACAACAACCGCTAGCCATGGAATGGGGAGAGGACATCGCCTCTGGGACTGGGCATCCGCACCTGTCTCACCCTTTTGTGAAATGAAAGTGCACAGCAGGAGGGGTCGGGAGATGGAGGGAAAGAGGTGGTGAGTGAGGCACTGAGCAAGGGGTTTGAGATTGGCTGTTTTGTGGGGAGAAGAGGGAGGGGGAGGGAGGAGAGAAGTTCGATCATGGAACATTTTGTACGAGAAGGGACTGGAGGGGTTCACTGGTGTAAGATAGAGGACAGTGGAATTTCTAGTGTAGAGATTAAATTCGTAGATATTTGAAAGTGCACAGCAGGAGAGGTCGGGATACGAAGGAGGGAAAGAGGGGGGGAGGCACTGAGCAAGGGGTTTGAGATCGGCCGTTTTGTGAGGAGAAGACGGAGGGGGAGGGAGGAGAGAAGCTCGATCATGGAACATTGTGTACGGGAAGGGATTGGAGGGGTTCACTGGAGTAAGGTAGAGGACAGTGGAATTTCTAATGTAGAGATTAAAATCATAGATATTAGACGGAACACCAAAAGCAAAGGCAGCTTTCTGGGTGGGTATAGGAGGACGAGAGGGTGGCTGAGTGTCGCCGATTAAACTTGGTTTCTTTGAGGTGAACTCCAGATTACGTACATCAACATAGCTCTTCATGTTATTACCTTTTTTGTCTCTGCCTCTCTTTCTCATGGTCTGTTCACTTGTCACTTTTGCCAATGATCTCGTAGGGTATCACATCTTCCTACTTGATATTAGATCACAGCCATAGACCGTCTATGAACTCAAATTGCAGCAACGTATCAATCCTTGTCATCTATCAATCATCTTGATTTTTTCCTTTTTTTAGTGGTCTTTCACGAAATCTTGATTATCGTCAGTTCTGAGTCCGCATATGAAAGTCATGTGGTGCTGATTTTCAGTCCCATTCTTGTCAGGTTACAGCATGGCAAACTATAGAGAATTCAAAGTCTACATCCACTCAAATTATGAATGGTTTCATCCTTTTCAAGCAAGGGAGTTGTTTTCAACTCGGTGTCCTGCTCGGGGAATGGCCCTGGTATCATCTTCGTATTCCTTGTTCAAATCAAAGCCACTACTACTACTAGGAGCAGCAGGAGTAGCAGTAGCAGCAGCAGCAGTAGCAGTAGCAGTAGCAGTAGCAGTAGCAGTAGCAGCAGTAGCAGTAGCAGCAGTAGCAGTAGCAGTAGCAGTAGCAGTAGCAGTAGCAGCAGCAGCAGCAGGAGCAGTAGCAGCAGTAGCAGTAGCAGTAGTAGCAGTAGGAGAAGTAGCAGTACCACCAGTAGTAGTAGTAGCAGCAGCAGCAGCAGTAGCAGTAGCAGTAGTAGCAGTAGTACCAGTAGTAGCAGTAGTAGCAGTGGTAGCAGTAGTGGCAGTGATAGCAATAGTAGCAGTCATAGTAGAAGTGGAAGTTGTGGGAGTAGTGGTGGTAGTAGTAGCCGTGACAGCAGTAGTGGTAGCCGTAACAGTAGTAGTAGCCGTAGCAGTAGTAGTAGCTGTAGCAGTAGTAGTACTAGTAGTAGTAGTACTAGTAGTACAAGTAGTAATAGTAGCAGTTGTAGAATCAGTAGTCGTAGCAGTTGTAGAATCGGTAGTCGTAGCAGTTGTAGAATCAGTAGTCGTAGCAGTAGTCTTCACAGAGGGAGAGGCAACTCCGAGCAGTGCCAACTGGAATCAAGATATTTAGTTGGATCGCAGCAAAGTATCTGGGTTGCAAAGTCTCGTTGCAGATGTTACCATGAAACGAATCGCAAGAGCAGGATGTAGGAGTAGAAGAGGAGCAGGATGTAGGAGGAGCAGGACGTAGGAGGAGGAGGAGGAGCAGCAGGAGCAGGAGCAGCATGAGGAGCACCAAGAGAAGCAGCAGGAGCAGCATGAGGAGCACCAAGAGAAGCAGCAGGAGCAGCAGCAGGAGTAGCAGTAGGAGTAGCAGTAGGAGTAGCAGTAGTAGTAGTTAGCAGGAGTAGCAGTAGTAGCAGTAGTAGCACTAGTAGCAGTAGTAGCAGTAGTACCAACAGTAGCAACAATAATAGCAGTAGCAGAAGCGGTAGTAGAAGCAGTAGTCGAAGCAGTAGTGGTAGCAGCAGTACCAGCAGCAGTACCAGCAGTAGTAGCAGCAACTGTAGTAGTAGTAGTAGTAGTAGCAGTGGTAGTAGAGGGGATACTGTCCTACTGGGGCCTCGTAACACCGATGAGTTTCCTCAACGCCCGAGTCTGGATGTGCTTGTGGAGATATGCAGAAAATCCATCGAGTTTCGTCAACCGCACACCTCCACAAACTTGTCCAGATTAGATAAGAGAGGGATGCTCTCCTACTGGGGGCCCTCATCCTACTAGCAGCGTTGAGTTTCCTCAACACCCGAATGTGGACATGATTGTGGAGATGTGCAGAAAATCCGTTGACTCTCTGCAACCGCACATCTGCACCAACTCGTCCAGATTTGGGAGTTGAGGAAACTCTATGCTGCTACCTTCTTCCCCCGAATACAACGTACTGTCTTTATAGCTATATATAGACTGAAAGATAACCCACATACAGCTATGATGACCCTACGTTCCATTCGCGGGAAGAACGTAGTTTCTATTCGTGGGAGGAAGGTAGTGGGACGAGGCCCCTGGGAAACTGGGAAATGTGGGGACCGATGTCAAATGCATGGGAGATGATTGAAAACAAACGAAAAAAAAAGGCAGAAAAAAACCATGAAAAACATAACTGGAGCACGCACGAGAGCGCGCACACACACACACACACACATGCTTGGCCAACCTTGCAATCTATTTATTTTTCTCTGGGCTTGCTGGAGACTTCAGTCTGATGTGGGTGAGTTCTACACAAAATACACACACACACATACGTGATGAGTCTGTGGAAGCTCGGCGAAACACTGGCAGAGTCATGCTTTTTTTGGGTCCCAGTGTATACCAAACATGACAACACACACACACACACACACACACACACACACACACACACACACACACACACACACACACCTTGCACTGCTTCTATTTATTACTACAGCAAACACAATCTCGGCCAATTTTGCACGACTTTTATTTGTCTGCAGCATTTGGGTCTGATATTTGGCGATCACTCTACAGCAACACACACACACACACACACACACACAAGCAGAGTCTCTCTTACTAGGCGAGTAGTGTGCGTAGCGTACATGACAACAACCACAAAAAACTTGGCCAACCTTGCACTCCTCTTTCTGTTCTCTGCATTTGGGTCTGAAATTTGGTGATCACACACACACACACACACACACACACACACACACACACACACACACACACACACACAGCAACACACACACACACAGAGCAACACACAGCAACACACACACACACACACACACAAACACACATACAAGCAAGCGTCACACGTGCATTTTAGGCATCATCATCGTTTGTCGTCAACGCCCATCTCATCCACCAAGATAGAAAAATGCCCGTGAGAGGACACACTCTCCCACCACGCAAGGAAAATACAAACACGTACACCCCGTTCTCTTCCACCAACAAAGGAAAGTACACGCGCGCCTGCGCCTGAAAGGATTAATTACTGCGCCACAAAACAAAAAACTGCCTGATCAGTTGGGGGGTTGGGAGTGGGAACTCCCGCACTTGGACATGCGGGGGCGAGGGGAGAGGAGAGGCGAGGCGAGGGAGACGGAAAAATCTAAGTGCGGAACATGGTGAACCAGCATAGCCAGAGATGCGGAACAGCGGAAACCGTCTTCGGCGGACAGCAAAACGCACGTGGGAAAAACGGAAGGGAAGCGATGAGGGGAGGAGAGGAGAAGTGGAATCAAAATGTGGCATAAAGTGATCTCAACGAGGAAGAAAGCAGAAAGCAGTGACATCATGCGAGCTTGGCAGCGAAAGACAGGAACACTACGATGGGCCCAAGACAGGACGATAATTTATCGAGTACTTCAAGCGAGACGGACCCTCAGAAAAGGGAAGCGGACCTCGGTAAACAGTCGTCTCTCTCTCTCTCTCTCTCTCTCTCTCTCTCTCTCTGCGGTCACTTATTCTCCGTTCTCCGTTATTCCTCCTCCTC